TTATTCATTTTCGGTTGGAGTATTTTCGAATAGGTAATATTGTCCTTTGGGCATTTAATTTACGGAGATGGTTGGGGCGCGCTGTTGGATATCATGTTCGCTCTGCTGGGTTATGCGACGTTTCGGAGGTAGTATTCGACGATAGTGGAAACCTCGTCCCTGAATTGGCCTAGTCGTTTGTCTCTTTTGCTGTTTAGCGAGAGGTTGGAGGTTCAAACCAGAGGAACGGTGTGTTTTGTCTCAGATGGCTTCTATCTGGTATTGCATTTTATTCATTCCTATGCGCATTCAATTGCGGTATCGACGTAGTGGCTACCATCAATGTCGGTATGAGTATCGAGGTAGCGTCGTAATAGGAGACTTTGAATTGGTAATCCTTCGTTCGATCAGGGTATGGACCGAAAAACTCACGATTCTCTGAAGCTTACGTCTGGGCTCGAGGCGGTCATACTCGGCACAATGGTCATGGTAATAGGGTGTTCTGGTCCGTTTTGGGACTAGTTGGGGAAGGAGTGGTATGATGTGTTGTCACATGGTCTATGTCAGGATACCCTGGTTATGGGAGCTTGCCTGGTATTTTCTTGCAAAATGTAATAGTATTATTTTTTGAAGTTGCGGAGACGTCGAGTGCATGTTTGTAGATATACGGATCTCCGAGCGAACTTGTACTCTCAACTGATGAATGGAGGTGATAATAAACAAGTTGCTTTCACCGAGTCCAGGCCTGATGTCAGGTGGCACTGATGCTACCGGTGCCTCTGCTTTCTTCCTGGGGGCTGATGGTCAACAAGGAGGAGCGACACAACAACAGCAGCCACTGGGCATGCCCTTACTGCAGGAAGGGCAGCAGTCTGGTGGAAGGCAGCCTCAACAGGTCGCTAGGCAATCTATGGGTAATATAAGGGAGGGGTATTATAATAGAGCTACGAGGCGGGCTTGAGTTGATAGCTTTTTTGGAAGTCGTTCATGGTTAGAATTCGAGTATCCACGATATGAAATTTGAGA